CACCGCCTCACACGCCCACGCCGCCGCACACCCCAACCCCCGCGCCAACACCGCCGCACACGCCAACCCCTATGCCCACACCGCCGCACACGCCAACCCCTGTGCCCACACCGCCATACACGCCAACGCCACCCTCCCCAATCCCTCCTACACCAACCCCGGTAACCCCGCCATCACCTGTTCCATCCCCGACACCGTCACCGCCATCAGGCAAGTGCCCAGTGGACACGCTGAAGCTACTGGGATGTGTGGATGCGCTCAACGGGTTGGTGCATGCTGTGATAGGTAGCAGTGCAAGCGACACTTGTTGCCCTCTACTGGCCGGCGTGTCCGGTGTTGACGCCGCACTCTGCCTCTGCACCACCATCGAGCTCAAGGCGCTCAACATCAACCTCGTGCTGCCGATCGCCATTCAGGTGCTTGTTAACCAGTGCGGCAAGACAGTGCCTAGCGATTTCCAATGCCCTATGACGCCGCCATCGCCTGTCACCCCACCACCGACCCCTGTTACTCCTTCGCCTACACCAAAAACGCCGCCATCCCCTGTCACCCCACCACCGACCCCTGTTACTCCTTCTCCTACACCGAAAACGCCACCGTCGCCTGTCACCCCACCACCGACCCCTGTTACTCCTTCGCCTACACCGAAAACCCCGCCATCTCCATCACCGCCTGCAACACCGCCGACTCCTATCACTCCTTCGCCTACACCACCATCTCCTATCACTCCACCACCGACTCCGGTTACTCCACCATCACCGCCGATGGGCAAATGCCCAGTTGACACACTGAAGTTGCTAGGGTGTGTGGACGCACTCAATGGACTGGTGCACACGGTGATCGGCAGCAGTGCCAGCGACACATGTTGCCCACTCTTGTCCGGTGTGGCCGGCCTCGACGCCGCGCTCTGCCTCTGCACCACCATCGAGCTCAAGGCGCTCAACATCAACCTCGTGCTGCCAATTGCCATCCAAGTGCTCGTGAACCAATGCGGCAAGACAGTGCCCAGCGACTTCCAATGCCCTGCGACTCCACCATCGCCGACACCGGTGATGCCGCCATCCCCACCAGTAATGCCGCCCACCCCTGTTACACCGGTTACTCCGCCATCGCCGACACCAATTACACCACCTATTACACCGGTTACTCCGCCATCGCCGACACCAATTACACCACCAACGCCACCATCCCCTGTGGCCCCGGCCCCAGTCCCAGCGACGCCACCGCCATCGTCATCAACGGGCAAGTGCCCCATCGACACGCTGAAACTGTTGGGGTGCGTGGACGCACTCAACGGGCTGGTGCACGCACTAATCGGCAGCAGTGCCAGCGACAAATGTTGCCCGCTGTTATCCGGTGTGGCTGACCTCGACGCAGCCCTATGCCTCTGCACCACCATCAAGCTCAAGGCGCTCAACATCAACCTCGTGCTGCCCATCGCCATCGAGGTGCTCGTCAACCAATGTGGCAAGACAGTGCCCGACGACTTCCAGTGCCCTAGTTAAGCTCCATCAAGTACTATAGTGCTATGAGTATCACCTGCATCTGCATGCAATACAGCCATTAAATCTCTTGGGAGTCACTTATGTAATAATATCTACATGCATGTGCAGCTCTAACTACTTGTGATGTGGAGCTGTGGAACATGCATGCATTTTGTTAGTGTAATTGTCTATCAAATAGTAACCGTGTAACGTTTTATCAACTGTGGTCTTCCATTGGTTTGTAGTGTGTTTTTTCCTTTAAATAAAATGTTTTGCACTGTGTAAAATGAACTTTTTCACATGTATGCATGCCTTGTTTCTGTGTTGGGGAAAAATATCAACCCCAAAGATTCACTTTCATTTGATTCTTATCAACAAGTTGATAGTATGCTCCAAATCCATATGGTCTAAACGGACAAAAAATATGGATTGCAGCAATACAAAGGATCAGGAGATGAGACGAGATGCCACACACTGGGTTCCTAAACCGATATCAGTTCAACAAATTGATAAGTAACAAAAATACAAAGGATCAGGAGTTACCCAGTGACACAGGGAGAGGCCCGCGCACCGCGGCAGGAGGCTGGACGGGGCGGAGGCCCGAGGCCGGACTGCCGGAGGGAACGGCGGCAGAGCACGACAGAAGAACGGTCGCGCGGAGCCGCGGAGTCGGACTGGGCGGGCCGGCAGGGGAAGGTGGAGTACCCGAGCAGAGGGGTCAGGCGGGGGATGTCGGCGCTGCGGCGGTGTAGCTGTGCAGCACAGGCGGAGGCGGCGGTTGACGGGAGAGCTGGGGAGGCAGCATGTGCGGTCGTGGTTCCGTTCCACGCTGCTGGGCAGGCTGGATGCGAGCGACTCGTCCAACAGGTTTTTTTTTTCTTGGGCTTCGGGACTTTGTGGGCTGCTGCTGGGCTGGCTGGACCGCAGGCCGAATCTGGAAACTGACTTCCTGAACTGACCCCTCGAGAAAAAAAAAAGACTGGACTGGCTGCCTTCGGCTAATCGGCTGACCGGTCGTCTCTCAAAAAAATAATCGGCTTACCGGTCTCGTCCGTTCTCACGGCCAGCTGGCTTGCCGACGCAGTACATGTGCATGTGCATGTACATGCATGCAGACCAAGTATGATCGACACCCGGACGGGGCTAGCTTGACTTTTAGCTTCTCCTCGCTTGCCGATGAGGCATCACATTCGACATCCCTGGTGAAGCTTGTTACTTGGAAAGAAGGGGATTGCATGCATCAACGATGATTGATCGTGTGCATGGTGCACATATATAGATACAAGATGGACCGACCTCTACTTGTCTTTCAAGATGTATAAATATATGAGGGGAAAGAGAGATACAACGGTATAAATACAGATTCAAATCCTATACATATGCATTATTATTATTATCCACACCATTCGATCGTGCAAGTGAAAGACAATAATGACGATATATGATGAACTGACTGAGATGAGAAAGAACTGGTATGAACCCGACCTCTTTTGTTTTTGTAAATATGATTAATTTATCGTTTTTGGTTCAGCTTATTATGAATGAAACATGTTTGCAATGACAATTAGAGATTATAGTTGCCCATGCCGTGCTTAATTTGCCAGGAGTTTATAATGGTTTACCTTGCGTGCCGACGTGCTATTAAAATGGTGGTGATGTGGTATTGATAGGGTGGTATCCTCCTTTGAACGATTCGAGTGGCTTGACTTGGCACATGTTCACGTATGTAGTTGAAACAAAATCAACATAGCCTCCACGATATTTATGTTCATGGTGAATTATATCTTACTCATGCTTGCATTCAGTGTTGATTAATTTTAATGCATGTTCATGATTGTTGTCGCTCTCTAGCTGGTCGCTTACCAGTCTTTTTCTAGCCTTCACTTGTACTAAGCGGGAATACTGCTTGTGCATCCAACTCCATAAACCCCAAAAGTTAATTCATATGAGTCCACAATACCTTTATATATGCGGTATCTACCTGCTGTTCCAAGTAAATTTGTATGTGCTAAACTGTAAACCTTCAAATAAAAATTCTGTTTTGTATGCTCGAATAGCTAATGTATCAACTAGGTATGTCTGTATCTTCCATGCTAGGCGGGTTATTCTCAAGAGGAGTAGACTCCGCTCCTCACTTACAAAAAAATAGCTGGTCACCGGGATGCCTAGTCCCATGCTCAAACCAAATCAAAATAATTGCAAACAAAACTCCCCCAGGATTGTTGTTAGTTTGAGGCACCCGTTGTTTCAGGCAAGCCATAGATTGATGCTTGTTGGTGGTGGGAGAGTATAAACTTTACCATTTTGCTATAATAAAGCTATTATTTATTTCCTTATTTCATGATAAATGTTTATTATTCATGCCAGAATTGTATTAACCGGAAACGTGATACATGTGTGAATACATAGACAAACAGAATGTCACTAGTATGCCTCTACTTGACTAGCTCGTTGAATCAAAGATGGTTAAGTTTCCTAGCCATAGACATGAGTTGTCATTTGATTAACGGGATCACATCATTAGAGAATGATGTGATTGACTTGACCCATTCCATTAGCTTAGCACTTGATCGTTTAGTATGTTGCTATTTCTTTTTTTCATGACTTATACATGTTCCTATGACTATGAGATTATGCAACTCCCGTTTACCGGAGGAACACTTTGTGTGCTACCAAACGTCACGACGTAACTGAGTGATTATAAAGGTGCTCTACAGGTGTCTTTAAAGGTACTTGTTGAGTTGGCGTATTTTGAGATTAGGATTTGTCACTCCGATTGTCGGAGAGGTATCTCTGGGACCTATCGGTAATGCACATCACTATAAGCCTTGCAAGCATTGTGACTAATGAGTTAGTTGCGGGATGATGCATTACAGAACGAGTAAAGAGACTTGCCGGTAACGATATTGAACTAGGTATTGAGATACCGACGATCGAATCTCGGGCAAGTAACATACCGATGACAAAGGGAACAACGTATGTTGTTATGCGGTTTAACCGATAAAGATCTTCGTAGAATATGTGGAAGCCAATATGAGCATCCAGGTTTCGCTATTGGTTATTGACCGGAAACATGTCTCGGTCATGTCTACATAGTTCTCGAACCCGTAGGGTCCGCACGCTCAAAGTTCTGTGACGATCGGTATTATGAATTTATGTGATTTGATGTACCAAAGGTAGTAAGGAGTCCCGGATGAGATCGGGGACATGACAAGGAGTCTCGAAATGGTCGAGACGCAAAGATCGATATATTGGATGACTATATTCGGACATCGGAAAGGTTCCGAGTGATTCGGGTATTTTTCGGGGTACCGAGGAGTTACGGGAATACGAGAAAGGAGTAATGGGCCTCATGGGCCAAGTGGTGGAAGAGAGGAGGCAGGGCGCGCGGCCCCCCTAGCCCAAACCGAATTGGACTAGGGGGCCGGCCCCCTTTCCTCCTTTCCTCCCTCTCCTTCCTTCTCCTTCTCCTCCTTCCTTTCCTCCTCCTAGTAGGAGTAGGAAAGGGGAGTCCTACTCCTACTAGGAGGAATACTCATCCTCCTGGCGCGCCCTACAGGGGTCGGCCGGCCTTCCCCCTTCCTCCCTTATATACGGGGCAGGGGGCACCCTAGGACACACAAGTTGATCTGTTGATCTATTCCAGCCGTGTGCGGTGCCCCCCTCCACCATATTCCACCTTGGTTATATCGTAGCGGTGCTTAGGCGAAGCCCTGCGTCGGTACCAACATCATCACCGTCATCACGCCCTCGTGCTGACTGAACTCTCCCGTGAAGCTCTGCTGGATCGGAGTTCACGGGACGTCATCGAGCTGAACGTGTGCTGAACTCAAAGGTGTCGTATGTTCTGTACTTGGATCTGTCGGATCGTGAAGATGTATGACTACATCAACCGCGTTGTGCTAACACTTCTGCTTTCGGTCTACGAGGGTATGTGGACACACTCTCCCCTTTCGTTGCTATCTATCACCATGATCCTGAGTGTGCGTAGGAATTTTTTCGAAATTACTGCGTTCCCCAACAGTGGCATCCGAGCCAGGTTTTATGCATAGATGTTATATGCACGAGTAGAACACAAGTGAGTTGTGGGCGATACAAGTCATACTGCTTACTAGCATGTCATACTTTGGTTCGGCGGTATTGTTGGATGAAGCGGCCCGGACCGACATTACGCGAGACTGGTTCTACCGACGTGCTTTGCACATAGGTGGCTGGCGGGTGTCAGTTTATCCAACTTTAGTTGAACTGAGTGTGGCTACGCCTGGTCCTTGAGAAGGTTAAAACAACACTAACTTGACGAACTATCATTGTGGTTTTGATGCTTAGGTAAGAACGGTTCTTGCTCAGCCCATAGCAGCCACGTAAAATTTGCAACAACAAAGTAGAGGACGTCTAACTTGTTTTTGCAGGGCATGTTGTGATGTGATATGGTCAAGACGTGATGAGATATAAATTGTTGTATAAGATGATCATGTTTTGTAAAAGTTATCGGCAACTGGCAGGAGCCTTATGGTTGTCTCTTTATTGCATAAGATGCAAGTGCCATGTAATTGCTTTACTTTATCGCTATGCAATAGCAATAGTTGCAAAAGCAATAGCTGGTTTGACGACCATGTGATGACACGTTGATAAAAGATCAAGATGATGGAGATCATGGTGTCATGCCGGTAACAATGGAGATCATGCTAGTACTTTAGAGATGGAGATCAAAAGCACAAGATGATGATGGCCATATCATGTCACATATTTTGATTGCATGTGATATTAATCTTTTATACATCTTATTTTGCTTAGTTCGGCGGTAGCATTATAAGATGACCTCTCACTAAATTTCAAGGTAAAAGTGTTCTCCCTGAGTATGCACCGTTGCCAAAGTTCGTCGTGCCGAGACACCACATGATGATCGGGTGTGATAAGCTCTACGTTCATCTACAACGGGTGCAAGCCAGTTTTGCACACGCAGAATACTCGGGTTAAACTTGACAAGCCTAGCATATGCAGATATGGCCTCAGAACACTGG